CACAATATTTTACACCCCCCTCACAAGGAGGGGGGCCCACGATTATTTTATTATGTGTGGGCCCCCCTCCATGTGAGGAGGGTGTAAAACATTGTGTAAAAAATTGTGTACACATAGCTTTATTCATAAAATAATAGTAGCAACTCAATAGTCACTATCTTTCAGTCGTTTCAAATTGATCCCTCATCAATTTAAAACAACACTCCGATCTCTACACTATAATCTCATGAAATCTAATACCCATTAGTCACAATACATCTTTAACGGATCACTTTAATTGACTAATATTCTTTAAATAATAGCACTACACATTTTAATATACAACGTGTGGCCCCAAATATGTTAAAATTATCCAACAGTAACGATATCTTAACTTAATTTGCTCCACTTTTAAGGTTTCATTTGGTCGTGTTTCTATTTTTGCTTATATTTTTTATAGAAGATTTTTTTTTGAGGAAGTTACATAAGCCAACTTCAACTAAAAAATTTTCTAAACAGAAAAATACTTTCAGAAAATTATTTAAATAAGTTCAAAAATAATTTCTTAATTTCAAAGGTAATTTTTCCTTTTTGAAAGTATTGTCAAATGAACTCCTAATCATTTCCTTATCTTTAGAATTCGCCTCTTGCTTCGCTATTTGTTTTATCATGGTGTTAATTTTAGTAACTTTTCTCCGGTCGCGACTAACAAAAAATGGTCATTTACTTTAAAATTTACTTAAACAAAAAAGAGTTATTAACTTTAAAATTTACTTATGAGTAAATTATTTAAGCTTAGCCAAGCGTGCACTTTTGGTATCTGAAACTGCAAAAAAGCTGTCAACTCCAAAGGAATTGGCGTAGTCCCAGTTGCAAGCAAACTTTAATAAAATCCAATGTAGTGTCAGCCATGTGCATAAAGTTATGGAACCTTCAAATCCCTCCTTTCTCTATACTCTATGCTTTACAATTGTACATTCACTTTTGCAATTTAAAGCCTCCAATTCCAGCTCTAAAGTTCTGCAAATATGGCAGATGTTTTGGTTCAGTTCCAGCTAAATATCATTAATTAAGTACTGGTTACCTTTTTTACTGATGATCTACATGAGTCTGCAGAGGGAGCATGATCACCATTATGTAGCTGAAGCTTCCTTTTTTCCTCTTTCTATATAATTGTAGTTTTTTCTTGAAAAGGGGCTCAAAGAA